CCCTCCCTCACCATGGGGGGCATTGATCTGTACCCCCCCCACACTCCTTCCCTCCCCCCTCCCCTTCTACCACAACAGACTTACCAGCTGCACGCAGCTCTCCATGCTGCCGCCTCTGCTTCTTGCTGCCTGAGTGTTGTGCTGGGGCTGCATGCAGCACAGGCATTTATCAGCCCCATTGAGCCATTTCCAATACAGCCAGTTTTCTTTATATCGGTACCGATCTGATATCGGACGAATGTGTCGGTGAACCACTACTTATGGTTGAAGAACCTTTTACAATTTAATATGTTTTGCAAGGTCTTACTAAGCTCAGGTTTTGCAGATATCCCTGGGTCCCTATACTTCTTGACTTTCATGAGATAGCTTTCCTTGGCAAGCAGTTCTTTTTCCCTCCTCCCTATTCCTTATAGCATCTCTGCCTATGCCAAGATCTTCCTTGGGATGGTTTGGTTAATTAGATCTGGAGCCTTTCTCTTTCTTGCACCTTTTGGTTTTGCACCTTTGGCTTAAAGCCATTCCAAGCCTCCACTCCATTCAAATCCCAGAGCCCCTCAGTCCAGCTCACTTCTGTAATGAAGGTTCTCAATTTCAGAAGGGTATATTTTGGCAAGTGAACTAGTTATTTTTCTATTTGTGCATAACTTTTCCTTTAAGATGTCTCTACTTCTAATCCCTTAATCCAAGGTTATCTGGTATACATAGTTCTTGAGGATCTCATTGCTCACCAAAAATCAAGTCTCAAATAGCATCATCTCTGACTGGTTCTGTGACTATCACATGCAGGACTAACTGGGCACTAGCATGACTAGAAACATTTGTCCTCACAGCATGTACCTCAAAAGTTAATGTCTTCCATACTAACAGAATTCACAATGCACCATGACCAAACTCACATCTGAACCCCACTGCAGGGTGCCTAGTAGAGCAGTGGTGTTAAAGCAGGTAAACTTACATGTGTAGGAAAGATCTTAAGCTTCACCTCAGTCCCTCCCCCACATGCTGTGTGCCTGCAGGCAGCATGCCAGAGCCTGGCAGCTCCAGTACAACACTGTTCAGGACTGTCCGGCGAAGGTCATCGGGCTGTGAGACCCAGATGCGCCCCAACATCGTCATCACTGACAAGGAGGCCAAGAAGGTCGTGATAGTGGACATGACCATTCGCTTTGAGAACCGGTGCCAAGCCTTCACCGAAACCCAGGGTCGCAAGCAGAAATACACCCCACTGGCCAACATCCTGAGGAGCCGCAGCTACAACATGACGGTCAATGCGCTCGATGTGGGAGCGCTTGGAGCCTGGGACCCCAGCAACGAGACAGTCCTGTGTGCCTGCTGCATCTCCCGCTGCTACGCCAAGCTGATGCGGCGATTCATGGTATCTGACACCATCTGCTGGTCCCACGACATCTAGGTCAAACACATCACAGGCCAGCACCAGTATGCCAACCCTGCCAGACCAACCGCCACTAGACTGGACCCAGAGAGGACCACCTGAACCCCCTCTGCACCTAATGGACTCTGAGACTTATTCTCAACCACAGACTACTCCACTCCACCCGGCACAGACCCGGCACTCCACCCGGCACAGACCCAAATCACTCAGTAGGACTCCATGGACTGAGTGATTTGTTTGTTCAACTCACCCCCTCCACATTGTGGACCTTTGTATGGGTTTGTTTGTATCTTCTTTTCTCTCTCAGCATCACGACCCCCTCCCTTCCCCCACCCCACCTCCCACCCCTGGTGGGGTAGGAGGCTAACACTGTATTTATGGGACCTAGTTGCGTTCCCCTCCTCACCCCCATCCCTCTCACGTTAGCTTGGGCACTCTGCATGTCCCTTATGGCCTTGTCATTCTTATTCTGTGATTATTAACAAGACCTTAAGCTTCACCTCAGTTCCCCACACAGAAGGGGCCTGTGGGAACCGGCCTCAAGGCTGGTTACAAACAGGCAAGGGGTTCAGGTTTAACCTGGTGGATTGACTCCCAGTAAAACAGGTGCGGGACAGGCTAGAACCAGCGGATGGTTTACCCAGGACTGGTTGCTGTTGTGGGCTTTGACTTGCTTCAGAACAGGCGTGGGACAGCCGTTCACACGCAGGGGCTGAATGGCCATGAGCTCGAGCTCGAGTCGAGCCCACCCCACGGCCCAGGGCGAAGAAGGGGGTTGCTTCCCGGGTCGGTCTGCTCTGGTCTGTTCTCAGCCGGGCTGCGATGCGGGCCCGGGCGGGTCGCTTGGCGGCGGCAGGTCGCGGGAGAAGCCA